CTTGGTGTTACGTAGATTGCTGGTTTTGGTGATGAAATATGGCACTCGATTATTTGCACGCACACCTACACAAATTTTTGGTGTTCATCAAATAATTTACCGATTATGAATTGAAAACTAAGTCGATGTATAATTTCGGAGTAACTGGCTAGTAAATTAAAAAAAAAATCAGATGAATTATATTTATGTCTTGTACGATCGAAATATGTATGTATGTATATACGTTGTTAACCATCGAAGTTGGAAGGCCATCGAATTAAATTTACGCATCGCAATACAAACTTATTAACCTAAATCAGAAATATAAGGGTACATTTAAGGACACTTCAAATTTTATGTAAATCTTTAGATCAATCAAAAATGAAACTGTAATAGACGCAGCACGAAAGTTTCAACCGATTTACAACTTTAAGTCCACTGACCGACGAGTTAATGTAATAGCCTTGCAAGCTGCATTCATGTTAGGTTATCAGATATGTACTATAGGCAACATTAGATCGCCTCGAGTGTTGTCAAATCAGATAGTGGTGACAAAATACGAGCATATCAGTAGCAATAGCCATCGCAAAACTCGTGGTCAGACGTGAAACTTGGGAGCTACTGTCTTGAGCAAAAAATATTTATTACCTATTTGTAAACGCTTAATCTAGCCGCTTTATCTAACGCATCTGACGTAAAACATCGACAAATCTTAGTCTAAGCGAGGTCCTGAGAACGACTTAGTAATTCAAAGGAGCAATCCCGATTAGGTGTTATAACTTATTTTTATGTAACTCAATGTTATATCAAATTTACCGTTAAACTATATCCTAGTTAATGAGACCGTGTGCCTAAACCTACAATCTACGGTTGATTTCCTGATTTTGAGATATCAAAAATATTATTAAAGTGTTACTATTCATAGTGTCAAATCGGTTTAACTACGACGTGTCGATTGTCCTTACTCTAGGAGAGGTTGTGCGGTCGAACTTTATATCTACATTTTACTCATTCTAGAAAAGCAAAATATCTAATGTAACATTTATTTGATGAAGATTGCAGTAAATTAAATAATAAAGTCTGAATATACGATAAAACACAAGGGGTAACCATCGGGAATATAGCAATCACACGCATGTTGAAATTGAAAATAATATCACACTGCACCAGTTGTTCATTGCGTACAACGGTTAACCTTCGAATAGTTGTAAATAATTCAAAATACTAAATAATCAATTAATTACGAAACGTGCACGAGTTTTAGAGCGGACTTCAGACCTGCTACCTCGATTCGTGGATGTGCTCTACCTCTACTCACTGACCAATAAACCCTATCCGTCCTATATCTAAACCGTACACTTGAAACGAAAACAACGAACAATTTATTGCTCTTCGAAATAAAGTTGCAATTAAATAGAAAAGTTAACTATACTTAGAGGCTTAAATTACTAAATCGATTATATATTGAGCTATATATTGGAAATGGATAGAAATAGTACAAGACGAGTCAGCAAACAATTGTAACAACGAAATGAAATCACATGAAGTTTTAAAACGTAGAAACGCTTTGAACGTAACTGAGAATTTATACTATTGATAAAATGCATTATTTACATGGCACTAAACAAAATTTAACCAACTGTACCGATCTGCACCAGCACACAACTAAAATACATAAAATATTATATTATAGCAAGTTTGCAAACTTAACGTAAAGTAATCAATATGGCTTAGTGCTTTTGGGGACTCTAGGTACGACACTAAATCTCAGTAGATTGGATCTTGTATTATTTATGATGAGGTGTTGTATCTTAATCTATGTATATTAATCGCACGGTATAGAATTTTCCGGTTAGTAACAGTCAAAACACTAGCTGGTATAAGTACCCCAATAATGCTCTATTACCATAGCTTTAACAAATTAAATTAAGATTAATAAAAAAGCGGAGAATATTGATTATTTATTATGAAGAAAAGGGATGGGGAGGTGGGCCAAACCTAATCAGTTTCGGTTTATTGCGCACCCTAAAATATAGGCACTAAGGCACCATAGGCATTAGGCACCTTCAGAAGCCGTAGCCCACCACAATTGTATGGCAAACTGTTGTAATATCATAATAACAATATTGATTAAACTGTATGTTCATATTTACATCTGGATCTCAAGGGCAACTAATCTACTCATGCATTATCTATAATAAGTTATTATTCAGACGTGACTTTAATTAAAATAACCATTACGCAGCTCTTAATCAAAGTGGATAACATTAATTAAAAATAAATATAACTTTAAAAAATCTTAATGTAATCAAGTAGAAATTAACATAATCTTAATTTTGAAACTATACCAATTTGAAATCTCACTATACAAAAAATGTAAACTAAGTTAAAACTTAACACTAACTCTTATCCTAATCTACAACTATTTTTGTGTTTTTCATTTTTAATTTTTTTTTTGTTTTATTGGAGTTTTTCATACACCAAAACATTTAATCCTATCCTAACCTATAACTATTTTTGTTTTTTTTTTAAACTTTTTGTATTTTTTTGTATTTTTGGAGTTTTTCATACACCACAACATTTACTTCTATACAAGCAACTTCAGGGCCGGTAATTACAGCGATCTAACTTTATGTACTATTAAACCTAGCAACTATGACGTGGATTATAGTTAATGGGATTTAGAAGTAGAAACAAATGGAACCAAGTAGAACCACTCTATTGATATTAATAAAATGAGTAACCAATGTACACTGCATTGGTTTTGGTTGATTTGTGCATATTTAAGGTTATACGAGAAAAGGTTATAACTATTTAAATAAAAATGTATATTTAGGAAAATTATTTTAGTTTAACTTTTGCACGCACTTTCCTATACTACGCACTTGAAGTTGGTGTGTCATACGGTGTAATCCGAATCGAACTATCACAACAGTTCTATCCTTATCACGTTTGCATTCCGTCGGTCATACTGATAATACAGTTCAGTCGTTTCTCCGTTCTGAATTCAAGAACAATATCATCGGGTAAACTATCAGATTGCTATTGTATGAAGTTTCTAACATTATCATTTAACCGTTATCAGAAAATTTTAAACCACTTTGAAGACACTTTGGATTTCTTTCATTTAAAAATGATCTCTCTTTATTGTATATATGGTAATACAATTCCTATCCCCTCAGAAAAAATATCTTGTCAGCCGCATCGCATAAGTGTCGTTTAAGTCCTAACGCATCACAGATTCATTTATAATCACTTTCCGTTTATTCCATAACACTATGATGTTTTTGCTTCGAGCTACCGACGGTGTTGCCGTCTTTGACATTAAAATGAAAAACCCTATCTACTTAATCTTACCTTTACAAGGACTGTTTACTGCTTGACTTTATATCGACTAAGCCGATGTTTTTACTATTCTAGTTTTAGCTTTTCCATCTGACATGACCTTTCTAACACATATCCCACTTCATTACTACTTACTTCATGCGTAAATATGCAGGAAGTAGTTTAAATTTAAAAACAAAAGAATATAACTTATATTTAGAATGCTAGTAGGTTTTATTTCTTATTTCTGTCACCTTTGCCTCAGTGTTCCGGAAACCCAGAAACCTGGTTCGAATCCCATAAAACCTGATGAATAGCAATAGTTCTTTATACAAGCGACATCTTTGTTTTGCTTGTTGCGACTTCCGCCTACATGTTACCATTCGAAACACTATCTATAGAATTAATATAAAACATTTACATAAAATTATATGTCCAGATATCTATGCAACTGTATCGTTTAAGGTATGAACGATTTCCAGTTTCCTAGAGACTCCAGCTCCACCTATCTACGCTCTATTATATAAGTATAATTCAGGAAATTGCCAGTCTTATTCTGCTACACATGTATAGTCTTAAATAGATTGAGTTTCAGAAATCTTATTACATAATACTGCATGCCTAAGACCTATTTCTATTTAATACGACACAATCAGAAATCCCATATTCAATAATGAGTATAGATGTGTGCAACTCGTGACGTAATGTGTAATGCAGCCAGAAGTCCAAAAACAAACATTCTTTAACCTAACAGATTTTTTGAAAGAAGTAATTTTTTAAAGAAGTTTTTAAAGAATTAAATTGATGTAATTGTATATTAGAAACAACATTATTTTAAAACAAAATAACAAACACCCCACCACAAAAGCAACCATCAATTATATTACAAAGATTAAACTTAATCTGAAATATTAACCTATAAAATAAAAAATAAATTGACTAGATTGATTGAAAAAAAAAATGTCTGCCGTCGCCAGACAGATCTTGTGTCAGATATATATGTGAGAATTAAATGTTGACCAATTTGCTATTTTGATAGTATGAACTACAAGTTATTATTCAAGTCAATTCAAATATTGGACTGCGGCTTTGAATCCATTTGTCAATTATTTTCAAGTTAGTATCGACATGTGAAATTTTTTTCACGTTACATGATTACATAACACGTTGCGCAAATCGTACTCACACGTTACACACAAGTATATTTACATCAGAGCGGAGTTGAATACGCCGGATAGAACACTCGGCTAGTGCTAGTTTAGATGCCTGGACATATAAAACTAAGGTACGGCCAACGAAACGAGATAAATAGCATATGCACGCCAACCTTTAGGGAGTTGCGTTACGATTGCGTGCGACCTATATTTTTGTCTTTGTCAATCAGGTTACGTTAGAAGGATAACTGTTGATGTCTACATTAATAGTACTTAGATCCCTATTTTTTGATTATTTATTTAACTATAACTTGTTGCTTTCGTTTTCTTGATATGTTTGGTGTGTTGTTATAAATTCAATATTATAACGTTGTTTTGTTGAGTTCTGCCTTTCGACATCATGATTGGCAATAAACGTATCATTCACATTTGCTTTAATAAAGTAGTTTTTAGTTTGTAGACATTTTAAATCTTTTATGCAGTGCTCAAAGTTAATTAACATCTTTATCTCGTTTGGTCGGCTGTGATAGTGAAATAGTCGCCTTAGTTATCGGCGGGAGAAGCTAGGTCGAGTCTTGAACGTCTGCGATCCTTTGAGACTGACAGCGTGCCTGAATTTGATCTTTGTAGAGAGGAGGATCGTGGAGGCGACGATTCTGATTTCGATTTCTTCACTTTGCTACCACCCGTGGCAGGTTGTTTGCCTTTCAACGATGATACTGACACCACAACGTCTGTTGATACGCCATCTTGTTCTGATGGTGAGAGTGAAGAGTCATATTCTGATATTTTCAAATTGTGAACGTGTGTGTGTGTTGCTGGTAAGATCACCTGTATTTTACGCTCTGGTTCGAATTTCAGTCGGATCCAACATTTGTGCAAATATACAATAGTTATTGGTGCTTCAGCGAAGCCTAACTCCGATCTTAGAATAAACGTTATATAGGGCGACAGTAAGTTGGCACGAGGGCACTTTCTGTTTGGACATTTGACATCACCATCATCATCAGAGCGTAAAGTTTCACCACAGAACATGGACATTACATGTTGTACAGAGGATTTGTCTACAGGCATCAGATATATTGACAATTGCAGTGCCTGATGAGTGTCGCTGATGACTCTTTTCTGTCTTTTAGCTTAGTTTTAGCACGAATTAGTAGGCTGCAGCGAAGTAGGACCACGCTCTCACAGGATACCATCGTAAAATAGCAACTCAATGCTGTGTTTCTTATAGTGAATGTAGAGAACTGAAGAGCCTTTATAGTGGATATGAGGCACTCCATTGTACTGAGAGGTGACAGTCCATTTATATTCCAATTCTTAATCGAGGATAGATGGAAATGTCTATGGGCCACAGTATCCGCTTACCTTCAGGTAGACTGTGTACCCGCTTGGCACCCTTATTCTATTAAAATAAAGATCTTCGCTGACCTTCGCTGCCGCCTGTCGCCGATCTGAGTATTTTACGCCTGACTTAGAGTGATTATACCGACATCTATCGGGAGACATAAAATCTTATTGGCATTTTCTATAGTAGCCATTTAGGGCGCCAACGAGATAAAATGGAGTAATAGATTCTTACACCACAACCACGAGTTATCTCCAATAACTTTATAATTTTAAGCCTAAGATGGATTCGTGGTTCCTGTGGCAAAGCAAGAAGTTATAGAGCTAATGGGCCGCGAGTTCTAATCCTGCATAAAACAAGTAATTGTTAGACTTATAAATAATTAACGTTTCCGGGTCTGGATGACTGTTCTAGTGAAATTTATGTATTTAAATTGACTCCACTAAATAAGGCCAAAATCCTAATGACGGGGTAAAAAATTAGAACGACCAAAAGAAACTACATTAATGTTACAATAGAAGTTTGTATAAATCGGGTTGGTCTGGTTGAGTATACAAAACTTACCCGTGCGTTTGATGACTTCGCCCGCGTTGTTCAAAAAGAATTTCGGTTTTGATTCCTTGAGCGATTCCTGCTGAAATGTATCAATAATTAAAATACACTGGACGGGTCGCACAAAAAGGTCCCACCCTCATTTGGGACAGAAATTTGTAAAGAAATATACACCCATAGTGATGAAATGATGATAACAAACTACTTCCATCTAGCACTTAATTGATAATGCAACCTGATTATACTCTATGCCATCTTTGATTACCTACACGCAATTAGTATTTGGATTGAAAGTTAAGTAAAGAAAAGCAGAATAAATAGCACCCATTTAATATGTCAACAATGAAATTTAAAAAAATGTTTTCAAATTTTTCAACATATCACTTTTTTCTTTTTTATATACCTAATTATATTTTTACATTGTCATCCAATTCCGAGCTGTATTCTAAATTTCAATTCTCTAGCTCATCGGGAAGTTAGTCTAAAATCGCTTACAAAATTCAACTCGAACAAACATACACGAAGAAGAGTTAATAAGAACGTGGTAAAATTTTAAATCTTTGGGTAAAATTACAACAAAACGGAAAAAAGCCATTATCATTGTACATATCGATCCAAACTTCAAAAGTCTAAAAGTCGAAAATAGCTTTTTGTGAGTGTGCGAACCTAAAAATAAATATATATAATAAAATGTAGTAAAGAGCAATAACTTTTGCTATAATAGTTAAAACAGTAATTTAAAAACACGTAATTTAAAAACGTTACTGACCTTTGATTTACTAGATTTGGAAGCAGACTCAGTGCTTCCGCGCCACCACGGTCACTGAATCTCACAAAACGCACGGCCGGACTCCTTGCCGGGAGTGGTGACTTCACCCTCAACTGCCGCCTCGCCTTCGGGCTTTGGTGAACCGCTTCCAGAAGCCGTACCGCCCCTGTTGATCAAATTCAAACGTGTTGTAGTTAAAAAAAATGTCCACAGCATTTTGTGGGAATTTCAATTTTGTTTAAAATTCGATCAGAATTTTTTGAAAAAATCTAATGTAAGACCCCAAATAATTCTATGTACTTACACTTACTAATAGTAGTACTAGGTTAATCAATAATTTTTTGGAATGGAACACTTATCAATGAGTTATAATAATGCGTTCTATTTTTTTTTCTTTAGTAGCCAAGGCCAGAAAAACTAAATTAAAACTATACCTAGTGTTTTCTAAGTTTCACATTTGGCACGAATTTGATTTGTATGCAAAATGGAGAAACTCAAACTCCGTGCGGTTTTTAAATATTTTTGTCCGAATAATATTTCTACAAAAAGTGTTTTTGATGAACTGTAATGTACTTTGGCGACAATGCTCCGTTTTATTCTGGAGTGGCATATTGGTGCAGTGAATTTGAACGCGGCAGAACCGCCTGCCATCACCACACTAGCTCCATGCGGCCAACAACGTCCGCCACGCAAGAAAACGTTAAAAAAATCGAAATAACTATTAAGGTAAATCGACGTGCAACCATCTTATTTAGATTAGATTCTAAAGCTTTCGTTTGGATCAATTCAGTTTATTTTAACTCATATCTTAAAATACATAAACATGGCCGCTCGCTCGGTTCCTCGTTGCTTAAAATAGATGCCCAAAAGAAGGCAAAAGTTGACATTTAAAAGCTTAAATTTAGCAATAATTGCAGAAGATTCAGATTATTTTTGCTGTCGTTTTGTAATCGTAGATGAAACGTGGGTACACCATTATAACACGGAGACGAAAAACTAAAGCAAGCTTTGGAAAAGATGGTCTTTCCTGCCAGGCAAGAGATTTAAGTTGTATGCTTCCGCTAGATAAATAATGGGTTCTGTCCTCGGGGATGCGGAAAGAATAATAATGATCAACTATTTATGCAAAGGAGAAACCATAACCAGAGATTATTACAAGACATTTTTTTACAACCACGCGAAGAACTAAAGAATAAACGTAACAATTGCGCGCTGGAATGCTGGAGTGCTTTTTATCATGATAACACCGCTGCTCATCGATCTGATAATGCAGGTGCTGCCATTCGAACTGCTGAGTTTCAGTTGATGCAGCACTCACTATATTCTCCGGACCTAGCTCCGAGTGAGTTGCCTATTTTACTCATCTGAAAAAGCACTTGCGTAGTATAAAATTTCACGGCGACGATGAGGTGATGTGTGCTGTAGAGACCTTTTTTGAGTCCCAGAATCAAGCCTTTTTCTCCAAGGAAATTAACCAACTCGCTAAAATAACTACAATATACATAATATACCCGTACTTGTCTTAGAGTTTCATTACGTTGCCAAAAGCTTATTGATCAACCAGTATACTTAAAAGTATTGAAGAGCCGATATAATAATTTGTTAGTCTTAAGGAAATGAGATGAAATATTCACGCACTAACCTACATGCACACACAGACAGACTTTAAAAAAATCTAGTCTCCTAACTCTAAAGTCCTTAAAACGTGTAATTATAGTCTAAGAGCTCGTGAACCCCAGACCTTCGTTATTTTATAAAAGCTGATAGTTTGTCAGCGCACGCTCCCAACACAGGTAAGAACGATGGACCATTATGAAGTTTGAGTTACAGTGGCTTTGGCAGGTAAATGGTACTAAAGGTGTGTAAAATACCGATCTAAATTCGTCAAATAATATTATTCATTGCCAGACACTTAACATCGTGGCAACCCCTTGCCAGACACCCTCAATGTTCATGAAATCATAATTTTTCTTATATTATAGTATAAAAGCTGTTTTATATATAATGCTTGGGTAATAAGTATATGATGTTTCCTCATTAGCCAGACATTTTGATAGTTCCAACCCCCTGCCAGACAAGCATGTAAGGTACCTGCAGGAGCATGCGCTGACAAACTTTCAGGTTTTATAAAATAACGAAGGTCTGGTTTACAGGCTCTTACTCTATTAGACTTCCGAAAATATATGATATATCAAAAGGTAAGTAACTGATACAAAATTTTTCGACTGGCGTAGGACCAAAATTACCGGTACGAAGACTGTTTTTTAACTAAAAGCTTTCACAAATGTTTACTGGATTTAGCGTGGAAAGAGTTATAGAACGTCTTGGGTTGATATAAGATCTGATGATTATGATCTTATTGATCAATAATATTACCATAGACAACTTGTTACCATAAGTTGTATTTATAAAATCAGCTACTATATTCATCCATAAAACAAATGATGGTAAGTGAAAAATACTTTAGCACAAGAATAAATAATACTACATACGTATAATACGATAGTGATAGTAGTATCCCGAAATAAAAATGGCTGATATAAACATAGAAGTGTAATGAAAAAACAATGTGAATGCTGGCCGGTCAAACACAACCTGCAAGTAATTTGCTAGCTCATTTAATAAAAACGAAAACTATAAAATTTACGCTGTTTTATGCTGTCCGATAATTCAGTTGTATGGATCACTTCAAAAATCTATCAGAATATAAAAAATATCAGCATACACGAAAAATTATACATATCCCCTAAACAGATGAAAAAAAAACTAAATCTTAAGTTGTCTAAAACACAATAATATTAAAAGTTGCAACAGTCGACAGAATTATTATACAACGTAAGAAAATATTGTAATAAAAATATTGAATGTTAATCTGAATTGTTTTATGAATAGTAAATAATGTTATGGAAGTAAACTGATATAAAGGTAGATCGAGGCATTAAAAAACGGATGGACTGTATGAGAGATGATACGCGTAACAAAGGAGTGAGTGATAAAATAAAGGCTGATAGGGGAGAAAGAAATATTGCGCCGACCATAAATATACATATGGGACAGGAAGAAGAATTCAAAGTCAAAACTATGGTATTTAATTCAGGCTTGTTTAAATTTCTTATCAACTAAAATGGTTAGCAAAAAACTGTTTTCAACATATAGATATATTTTATAATAGGCTTTTTTAACAAGATTCTGAAACAATGTTTTTAGATTGTGTGCCTGATTTGTTAACTATAATCTTACACAAATTAAAAGTAAAATTACAGTCTATATACGTCCCACTGTAGGGCACAGGCCTCCCCTCATTTCTGAGAGGGCTTTAGGGCGAGGAATTGTCCGCTGCGCTATCCCAATGCGTGTTGGCGAACTTCATATGTCTTCGAAGTATTTTTTATTATTTCTCAGGCTTGCAGATTTCCTCACAATGTTTTCCTTCACCGCTAAGCACGTGGTAAATCAGCACTTAAAATTACAACTAAACAATTTCTTTGTTGCCGGCGGGGTTCGATTCCGGTTTGCTCGCGTACTGTGTAATTTGCAGCGAGTGCTAACCATCTGAGCTACAACGGTTTATTATAATCTTACACAATTAATTGTAAATTGTTATTAATTTACTCGGAAAAACTTTCTTGTTGTAGCCTATCTAAATCATGAACCCCGTGTATAATATATGTATATAGTATACAACGGTAATATATGTATATCGACCCCTTTTACAGAAGGTAGTATTTTTTAAACGCTTTATATATCAGTATGAACTGTATATATGTACGAACGGAATGGAATTCATAGTTCAGCTGTTACCCACTTCTGTCAACATCTGAGTAATCCAAAGTTTTACAGTCGTAATAAGAAACAATGGCAATGAAATTATTCATGCCAATGATTTAGGACCTATAATAGGGTCACCACATCCGATGATCGAGGCGTGTTATTCAAATTTATTTTACACTTTATTGTACTAAAGGTACAAACGGCGGACTTAATGCCATATGGCATTTTCTACCAGCCAACCGGAAAGTTAGTGGGAGATTACACGCATCTGCAGTGGGCTAGAATGAAACCTAAAATTGATAAATTTCACATACACATACACCTTCACCCCCCTCCACACACACACACCACACACATACATACTCATAGCTCAAACTTAATTAAATACTTAAATTTACTTAAATTTATAAAGTAAACTCTATTTTTTTTACTTTTGGTTTTACCACAATCTCTCCTGGTGGTAAGTGATAATGAATCTTATCGTAACAAAAGTCCATTCACTCTTGCCTTGAAGACGCCCAGATTGTTTCGGTAGGAAAGACTCCAGCTAATTAAAACACATCCTACTTTTAAATATCAGGCACTTACCATCAAAAAGACTGAGTTCGTTTGTTACTATAGTTTAGACGGCTCCGATGTGCAGTAGTTTAACGAGTTTAAGTTCAATGAGCAAGTAATTGTTCCGGGTCTGGATGTATTACTTTGTGCGTAAAGAAGTTTTACTTCAAAAACGTACTACAACTAGTCAAAGTATAACACGAGCAAAAATTTTATAAAAGAACACTTACGTCATGTCAAGGCGAACAGTGTTGTTATTCTGCTGGTTACGCATCGCAAGGGTTGATACCATGGGCGGTCGCTGGGGCTTGTTGGCAAGTAGACGCTCGATCTCTACCATTGCTGATGGTGTCAGCTGTGGCACTATCTGAACACACAAACGTAATATATGTCTGGAGGATTGCAGCTCTGGCTACTTGCACTCATTAGACGAAATGCATAAGCAGAGCTTCTACTTCACGCTGGTTTTAAGAGGTCGTGGTACCATCCCGGTTCAAGCCGGCTCGTACATGCAACAGCAAAAGCTGCCGCGTGGCCACTGTTAATTTAGACGATTAATGTAGAAAAATGTCAATGGGGTACAGTATCCACTTATAATCAGGTGGACTGTGTACTCGTTTGTCAACCTTATTCTATAAAAAACAGTCTTCTTCATAACCTGTTCATAAAAACAACTAAAACCAGCTGTAATAGAAATATTGAAAAAGCTGTGGTCGAAAATGTGTATATGTTTTAGTCAAAACTCTTGACAGGTCGAAATCACTTTTGAATGTAAAAATCAGGCAAAATTAGTTTTGATTAAGGACGTTGGTCAAAACCACTTTTAACTGAAAATTTTTTGGGTAACATTGATTTTGGCCAAATTTTACCGGTTAAAAGTGGTTTTGACCACGAACATTAGTCAAAACTTTGACTTTTTTTTTTTTTATAGGATATGGTGACAAACGAGCACACAGTCCTGCTGGTAAGTGGTTGCTGTAGCCCATAGACATCTACATCTATCCTCGATTACGAATCAATATGCAGATGTGTTGTCACCCGTGAGGACTTAGATGGAATGCCTCATTTCCAGTAAAAAGGGTTTCCGGTTCTCTACACTCACCATACAAAATACAGCGTTAAGCCACTATTTGACGTTGGTATTCTGTGAGAGCGAAAAAAGTCAATTCAAAAATTATATATCACCATAATGGACGTGGCTATAGAGTAGCCCAAGACCACCCCAGCTGCACCTTAACCTACTGCCACTGAGTTTTAATCAGGCAAAACCATTTGCCCTATTTTCGCAATCAAAAGTGGTTTTGACCGGTTATGAGTTTTGAATGTGACATATATACCATATACCATATGTACTAAATGTTACTAAATGATCATTACCTGTAACGCGTGTATGTTTTCTTTAAATTGCTCGACGCTGGTGGCGCCAAGCAGGAGGCAGTTCACCGAATCATTTTTGAGACACCATGCCACTGCCAATTGACTCATCGAACAGTCTAGTTAAAAAAAAACTTTTTTACCCCTGTAATAAGTTTCTAACTAAGTCGTGCGGTGTTGGTGGTCGTGTGGTGGTGGTATTATCGGAATCCAGAAAACACTATAGTTTGAAATTATTTATTTATTTAAATTACCGTAATGTTATTCTGCATATTATTATGTTATGAGTAGTCTCATCGTACATAGATAAACAAGGAACTTACTCATGGTATCCGCAAGGTTACAAAGATCCCTTAGCTTGTCTCCGTAGGTGCGTGGTTCCTCGCCCGTCACTTGCTCCTTACTGCCCGAGATGCGTAACTGTTACAAATTATAACGTTTATAATACAAATCACACAACTTACAAATCTTCTCAACGATGTTCATTCACGCTAATCTCCGAAACTGCTTTACAGATTTTAATCAATTTTTGTAAATATGCGTATTGCTTGCTCCATCTTAAGAGATTGGATACTTTTTAACCCGATAAGTGACACTCAATATTTTTTATTGAGAATGTAAAAGCTTTTATAAAACAAAGTGACGTCGATTAGGGCAGAACATCGTCTGCCTGGCCAGCTAGTGTTCTACAAAAGTGAAATCACGTTTCACAGTTGGGTGGCAAAAACCCACCCTTACTTTTTTTTATAGAAGAGGGGGCAAACGAGCATGCGGCTCACCTGATGTTAAGTGACTACCGCCGCCCATGATCAACCGCAACACCGGGGGAATTGCAGGTGCGTTGCCGGCCCTTTAGAAAGGAGTAAGCTCTTTTCTTGAAGGTCCCAGGTCGTATCGGTCCGGAAAAATCGCCGGTGGTAAACTATTCCACAGAGAGGTTGTACGCGGAAGAAAACTCCTTTTGAAACGTACAATGGTGGACCGCCAAGAATCCAGATGGTGTGAATGGTTTTGGGACGTTTGCCGCGTAGTGCGTTCACGAAATTTGGCGGCTGGGATAAATCCGAACAATTCCTCAGAAAACTCCCCATGGTATATGCGAAAGAAAATGCAAAGAGATGCAACATCTCTTCGCAGCGCCAGTGAATCGAGCCGATCGGAAAGCACTCGGTCGTCGACGATTCGAGCCGCTCTGCGCTGAATGCTGTCAAGTAGAAGGAGCTGGTACTGGAGAGCCCCAGCCCAGAGATGGGAACAGTAATCCATGTGCGGCCGAACCTGCGCCTTGTAAAGTTGCAGGCGGTGTGCCGGCATGAAATACTGTCCCGCTCTGCTGAGCACGCAGAGCTTTTTAGAGGCCAGTTTGGCATTCTCTTCCAAGTGACCACGAAACTGCACGTCACTCGATATGTCGACGCCGAGGATTCCGATACTGGCTGAGGCAACAAGGGGAGTGCCTTGAAACTGAGGAGATACGACAAAGAGGTTCTTTTTAGCGGTTAACGCGGAAACTTGTGTTTTCTGGAGGTTAAACTGGACTAGATTTAGTCGCCCCCAATCCGAGACTGGACTGCAGATACAAGTTTGTCCCGGCACTCGGAGACGTTTTCCCGAGAAATATTGGCTCGGCCGGTGTAAAGAGCGTCACCAGTGCTGTCATCTGCATAGCAATGAATGTTACGGGTTTGCAACATATCATTGATATGCAGAAGAAACAGCGTTGGCGATAGCACGCAACGACCTTGATGCTCCGATCTGCAAGAAAGCTGGTAATCCAATCGCACAATTTCTCGGGAAGCCCATAGGAAGGGAGCTTCGAAAGAAGCGCTTTGTGCCAAACCCGATCGAAAGCGGTCGCAATGCCCAAAGTAACGGCCAATGCCTCCCCCTTGGACTCTACTGCCTCCGCCCATCAGTGAGTTAGGTAGACCAGAAGATCACCAGCTGACCCTATGAAAACCGTATTGGCGGTCACTAATCAGCTGGTAATCCTCAAGGTACCTCATGAGGTGGCAGTTTACAATGGACTCCATTGTTTTGGAGAACAAGGAGGTGATAGCGATAGGCAAGGTCGCCTTTTTTAGGGATCGGGTGGACGAAAGCCGACTTCCATAATTTTGGGACTACGCCTAGGAAGTAGGAGTACCGGAAAAGACGCGTTAAAACCGGTGCCAACTCTGGAGCACACGTCCAGCACAATTGGGGGGATTCCGTCAGACCCACTCGACTTGTGGATGTCCAGGGAGAGAATTGCTTTACGAACCGAGCGCTGTGTAAACTGCACTTCCGGCATGGAGCACTCACACCGCGGGATGATCGGCGGCGTACTCCCCCCGTCATCGAGAGTCGAGTTGGACGCAAAGAAAGAGCCTAGAAGATCGGCTTACTCCTTTACGATATGGGCCAGTGAGTCGTCCTCCCTGTGCAGAGATGAAAGAGATGGCTGACGGAAATTCCCCTGGACAGCCTTGGCGAGAGACCAGAATGCACGGTTTCCAGAAGGAGGGCGAACTAGTTTCTCGCCAATTCTGCCTATGTGCTCTGACTTTGCTTTGGCAATGACTCTTTTGAAGAACCTAGAGGCAGAATTATACTTCTTTTTTAGAGCGCTGGTGTTTACATCCCGGGACGCTGATGCGTCAGCCCAGGCTTGGTAGCACTTCTGCTTATAGCATGATGCTATTTTACAGGAGCGACCAAACCATGGCTGAGATTTGCCTCCAATGGGCACCACAGAGGAAGGAATAAAAAGTTCCATACCCTGAAGTACCACGTCAGCGACAGAATCCGCAACAGCGTTGGGATCGTCCGGCGAGAAGGAAACCCGCCCTCAAGACAGCAATGGTCCGAGGAGCCTAAAAGGGCGTCGACGGAAAGGCGAGAAGGAAACCCGCCCTCAAGACAGCAATGGTCCGAGGAGCCTAAAGGGGCGTCGACGGAAATCTGATATCCGTCCGCGTGAGAGGACAGCAGAAAGTCCAACAGGGAAGGTGCATGATCCTCCACATCTGGAATCCGCGTAGGCGAAGTAACCAGTTGTGTCAGACCATATGCCAAGGCAAAATCATGAACAGATCTCCCCGCATGATCGGTTAAACGTGAACCAAGCCATTCTGCTGTAGCAAAGAATCTGTAGCCATTTGGACGTGGTCGAAGAGTCGGTCTGTTTCGGCATTACCGCTATGGGACCTATAGAGGCACCCGTAGACGCAAGGATGGTCGTCGCTGTCTACGCGTAGCCAAAGGATGGACAGGTCCGATGGTTCAAGTCTCAAGTTCAAGATGGTTCAAGTCTGCCGAGGCTCCAGCCCGAGGCACAAAGGAGTGTTCCAGTTTGTACCCCGGGTAGGAGAGATACGAGACATCAGCCGGAGACGACACCTGCATCTCGGTCAGAAAGAGCAGAGCCGGTCTCGCCGTCTCGAGATGGTAGTGGACGGCATTTAGGTTAGAGTCAAGTCCCCTGATATTGCAGAAATTCACAGACAGCGTGGCAGGGGTTTCCTTGGTCTTGTTGCTCCGTTTGCTTCGAGCAGTTGTAGTCTTGAGCAGAAGTTTGCCACCCCCCCACCCGCCAGAATACGCGCGGCACCTGTGCACCCATGCTCAGAAGTGGAGAAACATGGTCGTGGATGCTCAGCGAGGGATTCTCCAGGGGTGCTGGTACCTCCTGGGGTAGTCTATCATCATTTAATTCCGCTACCATGTTGATGGGGGGGGGGATTTGGGCCTCCATTCACCTGCACTCACCAGACTAAACGCGGAAGCAGCGCTTCAACTTCACGCCGGTATTCTGTGAGGTCTTGGTACCACCCCGGCTTGAGCCGGCCCACACGTGCAACAGCAAAGCTGCCGCGTGGCTCTACCACTGTTAAAGTACTACACTTGCATAACATGAATAAACATGAACAAATTATTTGCAGGCCATACAAAAACTGTAATCCGTGTAATAATTTGTTTTTCTATTTACCTTCTTTTTTAAAAGTTTACTAGGGTGTTCGCCTGTATCGTGGAGACAGTTTAAATTGTATAAAGACAAACATACAGACCCGAAAATTAAACCATTATTTGTCAGTCATGCAAATTATTGTTCCAGGCGAGATTCAAGCCGGGAACATTTTTTGCGACATTTTCTTTAACCAATTAAGGTAAAATTAAAATTATGGCATAAAATGATTATTATAAGTTTGAAAGTAATAAAAAAAATATTTACATTCTATCTTTTATATAAACATAAATGTTTATTTGTTCGTATTACGTCCCGATACCATCCACACCATCTGGATGCTTGGCGGTCCACCACTGTACGTTTCAGAAGGAGTTTTCTTCCGTGTACGACCTCTCTGTGGAATAGTTTACCACCGGCGATTTTTCCGGACCGATATGACATGGAGACCTTCAAGAAAAGAGCTTACTCCTTTCTTAAGGGCCGGCAACAAGTGTTGCTCAAATGCAAGAACAAGACGAGACCTAGCCAGTCTTGGCCTTGGTCTTGCGCCAATAACCTGGTCTTGTTCTTGGTCTTGGTATTGCGCTCTCAGTCTTGTTCTTGGTCTTGGTCTTGCAGCAAGAGTCTCGCAAGTCTCGCAATTACCTATTAGCCTATTGTTATTTATTAAACGTTACTTTAGATCTTAGAACAACTTAAGAGAGTAGGCACATTTTGAGCTTGAATTAACATAGCCATAGAAAGACCAACCAAATTAATAAATGTCTAAACATTTAATGAGAAATTCGAAAAATCAACTAATACCGGGTGGGGTTTGAACCCACAACCTAAGCGATCCGTGCCGATGCTCTAACCAACTGAGCTGTCTACCAAGTCTCACGGCCACGGGAGTTAGTCTGTTTCTTAATAAACGTTTACATTTAATAAGCTTACATGTGCTAAAACTTAGTCAAAACATATAAAAAACAAATTAATGACATTTACTTGACTGTATTATAAAGAAAATTATCTGTCTAGAAAGAGATTGATAGACCATTATATGAAATGGAATAAAAGAGTTATACAATTTACCATTTATTTAAATAAAAAAAATAAAATACAATACAAATTAAATTACATAACAGTACACAACAGCTTTGACATTACTGTTATTTTATATTAATTCTTTTGACCAAGAATTAATACAAAGTAACCATCTGGCTGACTCATCACTTAACCTATTTCTATGTTTTCTAATTACTAATGATGCTTTAGAAAATAATCTCTCAGCAGGTACTGAAATTGCAGGTATTGAAAGAAAATCACGGGCCACCTTCGATAAAGTCGGATATTCTGTCTCATGCGTCCTCCACCACTCTAAAATGTCTTCCGAACTGGCGGCTCTGCGTTTACTTAGGTACTCCTCCAACTCGTCTATAACTAAGCCTTGATGAAAAGATCCAGATCCAGATGACGTCGAGGGACATGCATACAATTTCTCAAAGTCTATTACGTCTTCATCTTCATCATATTCACATACTTTCTTTTCATTTCTTGGTGATTCTAGAGATGTATTCACTGAGTGTAGACTTTTATATTCTTTATAAAGTTCATTAAATTTGCGCAGGCTTTCTGTTTTAATTTACTTCCCCCACAACGTCATGTCAAAAGTCTGAGTCTTATGTCTTAGGTCTAAAATTAAAGAGGTACAATAAATCCAGTTGCTCTTTTTATAATGTTTAAGCATTTTGTCTCGAGCCGCTTGAAAACCCAGAATGAGCCTTTCATCCACTTCGGATCGATTAGGTTTCTCATCTAATTGTTTTACCATGGATTCAATTTTATCGAGCAAGAGATTGAATGATACAATAACTAGGTAACATATTTTTCTCCACCAAGTTTCGTTGATAGAAGTTTAACGTTTTTTAGAAACTTATGTATTTTTTCGGGTATTCGCCATTCACTATCTGTGATTTGAAAATCATTCAATTCGGTGACAGAAGTGCACAATATGTTAATGCCAGTTCTCACTTTTAAACCAAATCCAATCATATCATGTGTGGAATTCCATCTCGTTGGACAGTCGATTAAAATAAAATTAAAATTTCTTTGACAGGTCAGTATTCGACCTTTGATGATGCTGACAACAAGTCGCCGCGCACTATCAAAGTGCCGATGTTCAAACCTAGGGATGCACTGTTTTTGCTTTTAATGGATATTTTCATCCGCTATGTATGTTTATGGTATTGTTCGTAATGCGCATAAGTCCAATTTTCCAAATTTTTTTAAATATATTTGTTGCGTCTCATAGAGTTCCAAAGCGTATACCCGAACTCCTATACTCCCTGAAACGACACTCATTCCTAACTGCAAGACGCAAGTCTCGCAGGCTTAGTCTTGTTCTTGCTCAAATCTTGCACGGTCAGTCTTGGTCTTGGTCTTGCTAAAATTAGGCGGTCTTGTTCTTGGTCTTGGTCTTGCAAAAATGCAAGAACAAGACCAAGACTGCAAGACCAAGACCGATTTTGGGCAACGCTACCGGCAACGCACCTGCAATTCCCTGGTTATGCGGTTGATCATGGGCGGCGGTAGTCACTTAACATCAGGTGAGCCGCTTGCTCGTTTGCCCTTTCTTCTATAAAAAAAATTATGCGCCGTTCATCAGATAGCGGTGAAACTCTGTAAATACTTGCGCGAAGGTCGAAGGCATAATACAATGAATTTACACTAGGTGGCGCGTGTGTCGTACCGATAAATTTATTTGAAAGTTATATATCATTCAACTTCAATGAATGTATTATAATTTCTAATTAAGCAACATAATTCTTCAACATTTAAAACTATATTTTCGCCATTATTTCGACTACGGCTGCAACGCGCCGGTTACCAGCTAGTGTGAGATAAAAATATATTCTGAACTTAACGGGTAAGAGAGTCTAAAATATCATTATTAACAAGCTCGTGTTGTGCTCTATGGCTTTTTCGTCATAGCTTTTTATCAGCGACTAAATTATATTTTCTTTATCTCAATGAGATCCACGACCTTTTCTGTCACTATGGCGTCGCCACGTAGGCAATTGGTGAAATATTTGACAGATTTTATAGCTGGAAAGTGAATTTGTTAGAAAAGTGTACAAATTATAGTGACTTTCTGAAAATTTTGCTGTATTTTATATTAATTACATTAGAAATGGATAAACTACAGATATTCCTAAAAGTAGAAGAATCAAAAGAAGTTAAAAATGTTTAAAACATAAAGGAATACAGAAACTTTTACTTAAAACGCCACTTTTCAATGACGACGACATTGTGTGACACCTTAGTCCAACTAGCGACATCTAGTGAGGGTAAGAATATTAGCCCTCATTTTAATATAAAGTTTTGAAATCTCCATTTAAGAATTTAACTGCAAACTATGTATGCGCATATTTTTTCCGAGTACGTACCTACTGTTTCAAGGGGCATCAATTCTGGGGCGTCAAGAGCGTGTCTACAATGCAATGTTTTTGTCCAACCTGGCCGTAATAACATATATTAAAATTAAATGTCATTGTTCATGTCATAAAAAAATGACAGCTCCGTGTCTCAGTAGCTCAGCAATGAGCACTGCGGGCCGCGGGTTCGAATCCTGCACGGAACAAGTATTTGTATGGCCTACAAATAATTGTTCCGGGTCTAAATGTATATCATTGTGATATCCACGTATTTAAAAATAATCTACCGACATTGCGTATTATTGAATTAATTAAGAAATAGCAATTACTTCGGGGACAGCGAGGTCTTCCTCGCACCAGCTGAATGTGCTATATTTCCTGTTGAACCGTGACTTGGCAAATAGACCGGTGATCTCCTCGCGACCGAGACCTTTGCCAGTTGTGATAGCGGACCACGCCATCATTCCTGTCAAACATAACCAGTGAAATATACAATTCAATAGTAATAGGCCGGCCATATAGCTCGAAGAACCGACCATCGATGGGTAAGAAAGGTTCTCGAGTGGCAGTTTGGTAGAGGTAGGCGAAGAAAGGTATTCGAAGGCCCCCGAATAGATGGAGTGACGACCTGGTAAGATGTGAGAAATTCGATGGATGCAGGTGGCTCAAGACCGTGTTTTGTGGTATTCTCTGAGAGAGGCTAATGTTCAGAATGTTTAAACCACTCGACTCCACCGAGTTAGTAATTCATTCTTGGGTCGATGTGTACGCTTTTACAATAAAATCCCAGAAAATATACAAAATTTGACATACACATAGTTCAAAAACTGTATTAAACTAAGTTTGTATAAAAAGAGTTATTATAATATTAAGGAATTTATGGATGATAATAACCCCTGGGAAGGGTGATCGCTACCAAGCTATTTCTAATTTGTTTCGTGTTGTTAATTGTAACGTATATGATTGTAAGCTGTTATTTAAAAAAAAAGCTAGTCCCGCTGGGTTTCTTGCTGGTTCTTCACAGTACAGATGGTTTATTGCGAACCAGTGGTTAATGAAAAAAGTGACTTTCAATAAACTATTGTTTACAATCTATATTGAATAAAAAAGTTCTGTAGTGGGCTTGTATAGGGTTGTAAAAAATCTCTAAATTATAATAAAGAAAGTGCCTTTGAACTATACGTAATAATCCTATAAAGTTAGCTCTAATGAGAAGCAATTTCGTAGTTCGATTAGTGATCTATTTAATGAAGTCTTCAAAAATGTCAGCAGTCTTACGAATTCCAATAGGATTTACTAGGACTTAGACTAGACCCTTTCTACCGAGGAGTCCACCTGGGTAGGTACCACTTATGTCTAGCACCAAATCGCAGTGTATATACTGCTGTTTTCCGTTCTTAAGGGCATATATAAAGCAAGTTTGCACTTAAGAAAAAAACCTTAACATTTTTCTAGGGATACTTACCGACACCTATCTTGTGGTACAGCTCTGGCATGTACAGCTCGGGTTTCTCTCTGCAGAACATATGGTATTCAGTCTGCTCAACTATCGGTGTAATGCAATTGAACTGTCGACAATTTGTGTACGCGTCCATAATCTGCAATGATGATGTCTAATTGATTTTATTATTTATAAATGATTTAGCAATCAACAGTCATCGATATACAATAACTAAATTGGTCATTAAATATTAATTTTCTTTTTTACATATAATTTAATTAATTAAAATCAATAGAATTTAAACAATTGTCCGCTATGTATTGTAAATTTTCAGTAATGCTTGGAAGTTATAATTTGACAATCCTTAATCAATTATTACTAATTGGACTTAATTAATTGAATTCGATAACATTACGAAAAAATGTTCGCTAAGCTTTTAGTCAACATAGTTAAGATGGTGATTGAAAATGATGTCGCTTTTGCAGACACGGAATATACCGCATCAGAATAATAAATATTTCGCAAGATAGCAGCACGAATATTAACTTTAAGTATAACAGTACACGGCACAAACTCACACAGCATCGTGCTACAGAATATATTACCTCTGATGGTGACCAGCGCGCTGTGCCCCAATACATCACCCATCCCTGATTAATCACGAAGTTCATGGCTCGAACTAGCTCTGTACATAACGGGAAATCTTTATTAAGGAAAACAACAAACCGACTGCATTGATCTATTACTAAAATGTCACAACATAATATGTTGTATTATTTTTCAATATTTACATATGTATTTCCTATAAATGATTTCTCCTTCATAATCAATCCGTAAACTTGCACGTTGAAATTGCTCTTTGTTTTAAAATAGGCAAATAGGCAGGTGGACAATCGCAGTGCCAGACCAACAGGCCTCTTGTTGACAACAAAATGATAATCACTTTTTAGTACATTGCGTCGTATTTTGAAGAGGTTTGATATTTCATATATCATACAACGCAATGTACAACCAAGTAACTATTATTTCGATGTCAACAAACCTAACGAGGGGATATTGGCGGAAACTTGACCACCGGGAGACGACTGCTCCTGTTTCATCGTTTGAATAATGGTATTTTGGTGATTATGACGGGTAACCAATTAGAATAGAATAAGTAGAAGCGAGTAGAATGAGTAAAAACGAATGGAATAATTTATTACAGGAATGTGATTCTTTATATACTAAAATTTTACAAAATGTACAAAGTTATGACAACGAATAAGGATCTTATATTTCACTGACATGTGATTGGCCGTAAGAAATTCGGCGGGAGGAAGTTTTAAGATGTTCGATTCCTGGAAACGACGCGTGGCCTCGTATTCCAAGTGAACGGTGGAGGTATAAAACACCGTGGCTTAGTGGGAGGCGTCCCTGCGCCCCCTTTTCCCCAATGGGGGTCGCTCCCGATACGTCAGAAAGGCCTTCTAGGCCAAAACTTCGCAATGTGATGCATCAACACATTGGGAAGAAGTTTTGAAACAAATTATTAAAATAAATGATAATTTCTTATTTATTGTCACTGGCAAAAGTACAACCGTACAAGCCATTATTAAAAAAAACTAACGAATACTAACCTTTATCCGGGTAGTTTATATTCGCTGTGTATGATATGGTTATACCACAATAATATTTTTTTCTACCTATTTTCCAAAGTCACGCATTACAACACCTACTGGACGAAAATGGTAATGGATTCCTTTACGACGCTATCACAGAGCAATATTAGGCATTTTTATTGTGAATAAGTCTATGGCAATGGAGATGAAAACAATTTAAAACGAGTTTGCGCTTAAAAATACTTCAAATAATTTTATCCTACAGATCATGGAGTACGCATCCATTATCCATTATAGCTCATAAAAGTCTACTACTGAACATAGACTAATTTCATAAATTGCCTTAAGCTGACATTGTACCATAGTCACCACGTTCGACTAGCGGGGTTGCAAACCTTTTTAGAGTTTTTTAATACTTTGAATTGTTAAAGTATGTTCTTTTGAACAATTTTTTTATAATTTTAAGCTGTTAACAGAAACTGTCCACCATGTTACTGTCCACCTCCTATTTCTGTTTTGGAGCTGGTACCACGGGGTTGTGAATATTCTTATACCACCTCTACACGGTCAACAAGCCTAAATACAATATATCCGAAAAACTTGTATGGAAATTGTAAAAATGGATATACCGAACTTTATTTTAAAAACAAAAGGGCTTTAAGCATTAAAAAATCAAAAACCAACCTTCCATAGGACAGACAGGGTCCACTTTGTGCAACAAAACCACGTCTATATATTCAACCTGGAGACGGGCTAGCGACGCTTTGACACTCTCGATAATGTGCTTTCGAGAGAGGCCGCGTTCATCCGATCTGAATAATTAAAAGAAGATGAGATGTTTGCCGAGTTTTTAGAATTAAACGAGCAACAAGCGTAAATTCGATAAGCGTTGGGAAATACTCGCAGCAAAAGTGTGAACACGCAATGGTCCCTGATGTATGCTTCTGTTTCTTGTAAAACATTTGTAATACATAATTGTAATTGTGTGCGTGCTAACTTAGGACAAGGAGTGTAGGTACGAAATTTAAATTCATCTCAATTTGAAAATTTATTTTCACAAATCTTACATTCGATCATGGTAAAAGCATGAGGACTAAGCTTTAACGATGCTGATAAAATCACTCGATTCATCTAAACACTCAAATAATAGTCAAAATTTGATTACTAATACATAAAGTTAAATTTTTAGAAATTTGAAACCCAAACTCCATTTCCAAGAATTTTTTTGCTCACCATAAGCAAGCGCTATATTTAAAGTTGTTTTGATAGTATTTTTATTATTAGTTAGAAATATTTCGGTTATTGTAATTAGTATATTACTATTATTAATCAGTATTTTAAAAATTGTAGTGAGTTTGACCAAAGAAATCTTTCACAATCTAGCATCGCATCTTAACTTTTGTTTTCGTCTTAAATGTAAGTTATTGAAGTTATTAGACAACAGATGTCTTATTTTGGCATTATGTTTGCTTCTGCTGCGAGTTTTGGTGTAAGGTGTGGAAAAGCTGTTGCAAGTAGCAAAATAAAAGCGTGATCTAGCTTTGTTACCGACCGAGTCGGTTTTGACCCGCGTGAGCTACGGAAATGGAATGATTCAATTAATATCATTGCTAATGAAAATGGTACAAATAAAAATATCATTAGTTATCATTGTTAAAAATATCTATACGTAAAAGCCAAATTTGTTTAATGACATTATTACTTTGATTTTTAAGACCCTTTTCAAACTGGTATCTGGCATGAACAAATTACGTATACATATGAATGACAAAAATTAATTCGCCACATAATTACAACGCCATATTGTACTTAATATTTCCCATTTTAAACTTTATAAATAAAAAGTTGTAAAGGCCTATTTTACCCCGTCAGGTCTTGAGTTTTCGCGTTATTATATAAGTATACGTTGCCGGATATGACAAAAAGGGTTCACAATCTTCATTTGGCGTGGGGAACCATAGCCAACGTGAGAACATTAGTCAAATTTGGGTTGTTTAAGTCTTTTATGAATATGGTTTTTAAATTAAAATCTCGTAGTAGAACAACTTAAACAATTTCACAATAAAACAGACTTGGAATTTATTCATAATTTCAATTTTGTTCAAAATTTGATTTTTGATAAAATGTAAAAACCGATTCAAAAGAAGTCGACACTAAAATAAAGTACATGTCTGAATGTATGTCCATGTACAATTTATGTATGTAATAAACTACAATATATAGTAGAATTTCCTAATGACATTTCTATAAAAATATAGATTAAGTGTTTTGCCGCAGTACTGTAATTGTTTTAAAGTAACATTGTAATGTTAAAAAAGAATTTATTAAACCCACACTTCAGAAGCTATTGTATGAAATTTTTTTTATTACATAATTGTGTATTTTGTAAAATTTTATATGATAGCCCTTTGAGATCAGCAATAAGAATATCTCAAGTTCAAGGTTTGAACTAGAAGATCGTCTAAGTAGTTACAATAAAACTTTCATTATCAAGCATAACTTGCTTATGTACACACTATAACCTATTAAGTTAAAAGGATTATTTCGGCGTTGAAAGAAAAAAATGAAATCAGGGGAACGCGTCGAATATTGAAACTTCTCGTTTTTTTTAATAATTTACAAATAGTTTTATACCAAATGTATTATTGTAATATTTACAATAATAAAATATTTACGACTTTTAAAAGTATTGGTGTCTTATATCTTCACAAAAGCTACACGTTAAATGAATTTAATTAGGAACTTTATGTTCATTTTTACTATTGCAATTGAATTTTTTATATATAATAATTTTATATATAATAATTTACTATTGCTATCCCCATAAATATTAAATAATACTTGATAAAAATAAATTAAATATCATAAAATATTATATAACATTTTCTAAAATTGTTGAACTCCCTAAATGTATGTCGCCATTTCCAGCACAAGTGTAAAAAGGGTCCTAATTTATTGGATTAATGATTTGTTTAAAGCATTGCCTCTCAAATTATATTAAACTATATAAAATAACAATGCAATGCGAATTAAATTGAATGAATAAGTTTTAGTTAATGATGAAGTAAAAAACAATTAATATATAAAATCTGTAAATTATACAATGGAAAAGCAAATAATATTTCTGAAATTTAATAATATTATAATGTTTATTATATTTTATCATATTTTATTTATTTTATTACATCTTAATTAATATTAAGTACTACGTAACTATATAGATTTAGTTTAAATTTTTTCGTTTCATTTTTTTATTCAATATTAATTGCATGTTGCAATAATATAGTAGCACGCTATAGACCAGTACATCCATAAAATATTAAAACGTTTACTGTAATTTAATTTCGTTATACTAAATTGTAATGATAATGCTATGAAAAACATTGCACATTAATTTGTATTTATGTGTTGTTATTAAATTTAACTTCTTATCTACTAAGTCAAAGTCAAACTATTTTAAACCAAAGGCTTTGTTAAATCACTTATGAAAATCTAAACCGGATCGTAAAACAATACCGCGTAATAAAATAGCTAAATATATAAAGATAAGCGAATTTTAGCTAAGTAATCTTAAATAAAATTTTCGCAAAATAACGCCTGATTCTACTAACTAAATCGACAGATATCATGTCAGAGTTTCATTTACAAAATTTATTAAAATCAATACAACGACAATTATAACTTGGACTTTTAAAAAAAACTTCTATTGTACGCGAATAAAAACTGTTTAGATATTATTTGCTCCTCGCACTAGTTCTGAAACCTGGAAGTTAACACAACTGACGGGGTACTCACTTGGTGCTCCAGTATATTTTAGTGGTTATTATAATGCTCGTTCTTCTGACGTTCCGCTTCTTGAGAATTCTTCCTAATTCCGCTTCGCCCTTAGCTAAAAAAATGTAGTTTTAAAAACTTAGACACGCAAATCTTAATACGTGGTAATCTCAATACATCAGATTCATCAAATTATTGTATTGTTATTGGTTCTTAATACGTCTGTTAAATTTGATATTTTTCAGACATCTGGAAGTGGATGAAATTTGACTAAAAAAATCAATTACATTTATAAGTACATACATATAGATCAAGCTAATAAAACGCACTTTTATATTGTGACTTATTAAAGCATTTAAAACAATCGTAATAAGAAAATAATATAAGTACGATTGTAGAACCAGTGTTGAAGTGCCTGATGAAACATATTAGCAACAAAAATGTCACTATTAGTTTGAAGTTACCTAAAAGTTATGGCATTATTTTTTATAATATAAAGCTAAAAGATGACCTCGGAAAGTTTATGTTTTTTTTTAACTTGTTAAGAGATCGGGAAATGGTCAGTTGAACCAAATTACTGCATATTTGTAATTTGCACACACGTACCTAATGAAACCTCTTTACGACATATCATTCTTCTTTTTTTATATTTTACATAAAGAGGTCAAATAATAGTATACTCATGCAGCCTCAGCGGTGAAACGTTGCAAGAAAACGTAATTTTTATTTATAAACCGTACTTATTTTTTCCACTACGCCGATAAATAAGTTTCACTTCAAAAATAAAATTCCTTACAACTGGCATTTATCTCACACACAAATCTTCAATCAAATCGAACTTCAAAATTAATGTTGTTTTTGGATTTTTAAGTTTATTTACATTTATACGAATTGTACATTAGAAAACTAGCTTCGCCTGGACATGGTTTATTAATATTGTGAATATTTAGATCTGAGATAATCAAAGGCCAGATAAACATATTCATCAGTTCAGCTACTCCGCAGATTAGCCTGAATAGACAGTCGGATAGGTCCAAGCTGCAGCTACATTATGATTGTAGCACGAATTGGTCGGCTCGACCGGGGTAGGACTATGCTCTCACTGAATACTAGCGTGAAATAGCAGCTTAGTGCTGCTGTGTTTCTTATGGTGAGTGTAGAGAACCGGAGACCCTTTTTATTGGAAACGTGGCATTCCATTTTAGTCCTCATGAGTTTTCATGCATCTGCATTTCGGTCCACTGGATCTACTCCGCATCAAGTTTACTGTATGCTCGTTTGTCACCATTATTCTATACAAAAATATTATATCTTCAAACGTTTCATACCGCAATGTGCTTCTGACAAGTCAAACAAGTTGATGCCGTTCTCAAGAGCTGTCATGACGATGTCTTCGGCGGAGTCTTCGTTGATTATTGTCCACATTCCGAGCCCAATGTTGGGGACGCGGAGGCCAGATTTGCCAAGATTCCTGTAGCGTAGCCCCGGAGTTACTACGGAGGGCATGCTGGTATGATTGCCCAAATAGCTCGACATGTGTTTGGAGACGTTTACTTCTCCCGCTGTTGGAATTGACGCCAATTATGATAGAAAGAAGATAGAAAGAAAGAACAACGTTTATAGCAAAATGCCACACACATAATTAGGCACTTAACATGAATATTTGTAAGCGTTACTGTTACTACCTATTATTGTCCACTGCTGAACCTAGACCTCCTCCCATAGATTGACTCATTTGCCATAGTTACCGCGCTTGGGCACGCTTTTTTAGTCCTTATCAAGAAGACGCTGCTGCTCATCTGCTGATTTGTTTCTCTCTGTCGCCTTTTACGACACCCACGAGATGATATTGGATAGTGGATATTCTTACACAGTTCAGTATTCGCAAACACAACAATGAATAAAGGTGTAATAAAATAAATATATATTTAAGACCTTTGAAATATGGACCATGATTAAATTCTAATTTGAATAAAATTTGAATAATTATTTACTATTTTTTTAAAACCTTGAGTTCTGAAGTCGGTCGTTAGTCGTCGAAGTTATCGCCTATTTTTGTCGCCGAATAGCAGAGCTCGCACTGCCGTGTTCTAGTTTGAAAGCTATAGAGAGCCAGTATAGGTACAGCCTGTGAGGATTGCATTTCAGTCCTCAAAAGTAATAACGCATCTGTAATCCTAATTCTACTTTATTTGGAGTTGGTTAAAAATGTCCATGGACAGCTATAATCACTTCAGGTGGATTATAAATTCTTTTCTTTTTCTTTCTTTTATTTTTTTTTAAAATGTTTTTCGTTCATTTATATCATATATTATTTATAACATCAATTTAAAAAAAAACCTTTTAAGCCAACTGCCCCAGAAGAAAATTAAAGATTCTGAGAATATGTAAGTATTGTTACGAGTTTGGGGTTCGTGACAATAAAAACTGCCGATAGAATTACCAAAATTGATAACATAAACACACTAATAATAAAACACAATTGTATTACTGATCACTTTAGTTCGCAGTTGTATTGCTTCGAAGTATTCGCTTGTATTGCCAATTCAACGCTCACTCGGTCGCGGTCCTAACCGGCTTTATATAAGGCCCCTTCTACTGAAACATCTAGAATGATCGAGTACATAACGGTCCCGACTGACTAGGTGCAGAAATTTCTAGTATAGAATTTCCTAGAAAGCTCTTGACTTTCCTAGTTTTGCTACTCGGTAATAGAGTATGTATATATATGTATGTATCAGTGTGAGTATGAGAATGTCGCCATATACCAGGCATTAATTATGGCACGCAACACTGCCTCTTTCCTAAGACATTCTCGTAACGAGCATTGTCGGCCCCATAATAACGCGCCAGTTGATCCACGTGAATGATTTTAGGAGTACCTCTTGCACCTGTACGGTCCGTCCCATTTAGCTTGAAGCTTAGAGGCTCAGAGCGAACTAGATTGTGCGACCACCCTAATGACCCTTCGTCGAACCCTTTGTTGTTCATTTAGCGGTCATACCGGGTTTTCATCTTTTCAGTTGTTTGCATGCCCGATTGTCTGACGTGCTGATAAATGTGAATCATTTTGTTCCGCAAGTTATTTGCATAATCGGTTATACTGCATGGGGTATCAGGTGATATTCCGGTGCGTATTCTGCGAGCAGCCGTAATTATCTTCCAAAGTTTGCGAAATCTGATGTCACTGACGTACTTTCGTGAACAGCGCTTCGATATGACAACAAAAACGTTTGTATGTGATTGTCCCAATCTCGTTGCCGATTTTTCACAACTTGTGCTCTCCAATGTCTGATTAAATCGTTCTACTATTCCATCAGATTGTGGGTGGTAGGAAGTTGTTCTTGTTTAATGAGTACCCATGATTCAAAATTCCTTTCTTTATCGCTGTGAATCTCTAAAGTTACTCCAAAACGACAGAAGACTTCATGAACTCGTTTATCTGCAACTGTTGAAGCTTCTTGATTTGGAGTGGCGAAGATTTCTGGCCACTTAGTAAAGTAATCCATCACAACCATGAAATACTTGTTACCACTTTCAATTTCCGGACAAGGCTCCACCACTTCATGGGCTATCCTCTCCCATGGTGCACCGACATTGTACAATTTCAATCCACCTCTACTACGAGTCCGAGGTCCGCACAACTTGTACATTTGCGACACTAGTGCTTGACATTGTCACCACAGTGGACCCAGTAAAACCGTTCTCGGATCTTCAATAGTGTTCGCTTAACTTCCACATGGACTCCTGTACAACTATTATGGTACAGCTGTAGAACATACGGTACTTTACCTTTAGTGACATCCATTTGCAAATGACAGCTGTCTCCCTGACGTTTTTCCTATTTACGACACAGGATACTATCCTCAATTAGCAAGCAGCCCCATTGTGCCCAACAACTTTTCGTGGTCGAACTCATCGCTGAGACGTCGCTCAACTTGGGCTTGGGAGCACTGGCCTTCATCCATTCCAGAATCGGCTTGATGTACGAATTTTCCTGCTGTGCATGTTGTACGCTGTCCTTCCACTCATTGCTGAGCTGGTCCGTCCTGAGCATCTTCACAGATGTGGTATCTATGAGGATGCTTAGGACAGATCAGCTCAGCAACCTCATTCCTTACTGTCTTGCCTAGTACAATGCTTGCAAACTTCAGGACAAGGCCTTCTTGTCAATGCATCGTTGCCCTGCTGCTGCTGAGCGGTGCTGTTAGCCGCACTACCTTCTCAAGATCGATCACCTTCCCTTTTTACAGTTCGCTTAGGGCATTTGGATTGATGAAGGCCCCTTTTCTCAGAGCCGTAGCACCTAGGGCCATATCCTTCTTCACGCGCGATGAGAACGATGATCCTGCCGTGCTACTTCCATGCCTTACGGCAGGATCATCGTTCATCGGACCGGGGTAGGACCACGCTCTCACAGAATACCAGCGTAAAATAGCAGCTTAACGCTGCTGTGTTCGTATGGTGAGTATAGAAAACTGGAGACCCTTTTTGCCCGAAACGAGGTATTAAATCTTAGTCCTCACGGGTGACAACACATCTACATTTTGATTCGTTACAAAACGTTCGGGCCAAAAATCAATTATTGAGTTTTTCTGTCAAAAAATTCTCAGTACCTGCCCGGAGTCAGGAAGTTTGCGGTGTCTCACCCCGTGCCTCAAAAAGCACGTAAAGCCGTTGGTCCTGTGCCTGATCTCTCTTCGGTCGTGTCGGTTTACCGTTCCATCGGATTATGAGAGTGAGGGAATAGAGAGTGCACCTGTGCTTGCACAGGCACTATAATCCTGTCCTGCGCCGATGGCCAGCCTCTGTTGAGGCAGGCCGACGTGGCCGAAATTTGGTCTAGAGGACATAATGGCATACAAATAAACATAATAATGATGGCATAAACATAATAATGATACAAATAAACATAATAATGGCATACAAATAACCCCCTCAGCTCAATAAAGGGCAGATATTTCTTTATTACAGACAGACATTTCAATTTTATTTATATGCGTAATGTACCTACGTACAAATAAGAAATTCATTAATTCAAGTCATTACATTATATTCTAAAACAATTTCTTTGAAAAAAATCGGATTCAAGTTCTCTTTTAGTAGTATTTCTGTTGAGTAGGACACCCTCATATCTACATAGGTCAGATTTTAGATAGCAGTTGAGGAAGTATATTCGCAGAGGATAAGATTCAACGAAGATTTTCGAGTGACATCTTCGTCACGGTAATATTATCTATAAAATTACCGTATCTTCGTACCGATTGGCGGATTTTATGGTGCCACCCCTCTCCGCACTGGATGAAAAAACAACAAAGTATGGTAAGCGGGAAGTCGCTGGATGTAGGTGGTTTTGACCACGTTCTGTGGTATTCGCTGGCGTTGCCTATGTTCTGCAGTGGACTTGTGAGGGTGATGATAATGATGCTGTACCATCCCTTGAGTTTTTGAATGACTACAGTCGTCAATCGTCAAATCCGAACGTCAAATCGTCATAGTTCCAGTTGAGAATAATATTCTTGTAAACATCATGGCACAGCCTAACAGATTAGTAAGCTGAAGTGGTATTGGGTCGGTCATATAGCTCGAAGAACTGGTAAGCTATGGGGAAGGAAGGTTCTCTAGTGGCAGCCTCGTACCTTTAGACAAAGTGTAGAGTTGTTTCTCACTAGATGGAGTGACGGCCTGGTAAGATATACAGGAAGTCGATAGATACATGTGGCTCAGGACCGTGCTTTTGAGGAAGATTCCTTGGGAGACAAATGTTAGCAGTGGGCTTGTGAAGAGCTCTAATGATAATGATGAAAGTTTATCGCACTTACCTTGATCCAACATTTGCTGTGAGTTGGCACTAAAATCGTCCATACAATCAAGCGACGCTATTGGGGCGCGGCATCTGCGTGACAAGTAACAAGGTTTGCAATTAACAGACTGACGGGTTTCTTAAACACATTTTCGATTTATTTATTTATTGAAGTGAATACTTCTTTAGAATTGTTGTGATAGAGACGCTAGAAAGAGACAAACATATACATCTGCGAGAGAACAAGATAGAATATTACATTAAACTAGCTTGCCAAGCAGACGTTGTTCTGCCCTTTTCGACGACAATTTGGCATGTCCTATTAAATATCCTTAAATTCGCAAAAAAAATTGTGGGTCATTTATGGGCAAAAAAACTATCCTATCTCTCAAGTTGGACCAAACTGCACACGGTGTGCAAATTTGATTAAAATCGGTAAAGTAGTTTAGGGGTCCCTCGCGGACAAACAACGTGACACGTAATTTATATACAATATGTAACGTAATTAACGCACTTTGAGAAAGTAGTTTGTTCAGAATCGTTTACTGATTCTATTCCTATCATTTTTAATACAGGTAATTTTTTATCCCAAAAATAATTAAAACTACGTAAATTACAGTCACACTAAATCTGTAAGATATTATACGAACGAATCAACCGATTTTTACCGGACCGGCAGCGATCGACGTGGTTTTTCAAGGTTAAAAGCTGATTAGGTTTTGGAATTGATCGGTAAAGCCATTTAAAAGTAATTCCAAAACAAAAGTTTTTCAAAACTTATATTTTAGATTTCTCTAAATCTAACGGTCCGAATTAGTTAAAATTCATAGGAAATCTAATTTTGATAAAATACTTTTGAAAGCTGCTTAGTACATTTCAATCGGTCAAGCCGTTTAAAAGTTATAAGAGGTTTACACACAAACACACACACACACACACACACACACACACACACACACACACGCGCGCACACCAACACACACACACACACACACACACACACACACACACACCACAAACACAAATAAACACACACACACACACACATACACACACACACACCACGCACACACGGACACAAACACGCACAAACGGCACACACACACACACACACACACACACACACACACGCACGCACGCACGCACCCACGCACGCACGCACGCACACACGCACGCACGCGCACATGCACACACGCACGCACGCACGCACGCACACACACACACACACACACACACACGCACGCACGCACGCACGCACGCACGCACGCACGCACTCACGCACGCACGCACGCACGGCGCGCACACACACACACACACACACACACACACACACACACACACACACACACACACACACACACACAACACAAGCACGCACGCACACCACACACACACACACACACACACACACACACATGTTGGCTTCTTAATTTTTAGGCGCTAGTAGAACATACCTACGCGCTTTGCGCTTAAGGCATGCTGTAATATAACCAATGCTACAGAAAGAAACATTAAAGTTTACATTTTCCTAAAGCCCTCATTAATGATATATTATTTGATTTTTACTTATATAGTAGAATTTTTTGTCATTCACTTTTTTTACTTTCCAACAGGTATAGTAGCATTACTTAGTTAAAAAGCACTTAGGGTTTTTTGCTGGTAGTTCCTAGGGCAGGCGATTTTCTGAACAAGTTTTAAAAGTAAATTTTTGATTGCAATAAAAATCATTTATATTCTGTATTGGATAAAAATATTCTATTCTATTTCATTTTATAACATGCTTCTGAGAAATTTAATGAAGGTCATGAATAAATGAATTTACCGACATATTAAAATTAATGAGACACTCCGCCAAGAGATGGCGTCACATGTCATTTATATCGCAATAGCGTTTTATTGATTTCAAATGATAAAGTTCAGGCTTTCAATGATTGGTCTAACATTGCTTTAACCTGTTGCAATAACAACCTTATAATTTTTGTTAGCTCACGGTTTTACGCGTGAGTTTGTTGTCCGATGAACCGACACGATTTTATAGTGTTTCATATAGGAGCTGCTAGCTGCCAACTGGGAAAAATTATAATACGAGTTGAAACGACACGCAACTCGAGTTAGCAAAAAACCATTCAAATTATTTACTCCTATTTTACCTAAATGCATTGTATAAATATAACACATATAAATACAATAAACAAAACATATATATATATATATATACAACATGTAACAAAAACCCTGTGGTTCCCGTTAACTGCGTTATCAAAGTCAGTAGAGCCAGTAGATCCAAGCATGTAGAAACATTTTTTTTCAAAAAAAAAACATTTAAAAAAATTAATTTTAATGAAAAAAAAATTATTTGCAAATTGTATGTGGTTTTATTATCTCTGCATTGGCCGAGGAGCTAGAGGATTGTCAAAGACCTCGCATTACCGATACTCGTGTGAGTTAGAGGTAATAAAACCACTTACAATTTGAAAAATAATTTTTTTTCATTAAAATTATTTTTTTTAAATGTTTTTTTTTTGAAAAGAATTATTTCTATACGCTTGGATACTGATTCTGATAACACACCTAACGGGAACCACAGGGTTTTTGTTACATGTTGTATATACATAAAATAATTTTCTCATAATTTACAGCCAATTTGCGAATTTTTAACTTCAATTTTGACTTATTTATCATTTAAAAGTTGAATACAAAAGTATACGTAAAATATGGTAAAGTAAAAAATTTACTTTCAATGAGAATTACTTGTAATCTATATTGAATAAAAAAATATTCTATTCCATTCTACAGCATCTACAAACCAATAATTCCAGAGTTTAATAAAGAAAAAAACACGTTCTTAACATTACACTGTGTTGCAAATAGTTTTAGGTTTAAAAAATTTATAGTTTTGTTAACAGGTAATTAAATAACTAAATGCTTTATAAGTCCATTTTTAATTGCAAGATAAGTGTTAAGTAAGAAGTGAAATTTAAATTCAGTCTTTAAATTATCAAAATTTACTTAGTTTTGCTGGAGTGGTTCCCGGACTTGATCGGATTTCATATTTTTTTATATTTAAAACATAAGGAAAAGTTCGCTGACACAGTCGTTTCTAAATCAAGTTATTATTTCTATTGGAGGGTTGACGTTTTTTTTTAAATATTGAAGTAGCTATTGTATATTTAATAAGTAAATAAAAAAAAACAATTACATATATTGTTCAATAGCTTCGATTAAAGTTATAAACGAAATAATAAAACTAAAGTTTGGGATCCACAATATTGTGAATTTTAAACTCTAGGGTTCTGCCTATCAAGTAATTACATTTTAATATTTTCAATTTTCTGTTCTACACTTGCTCTTTCACTGCCGGCCGTATGAGGAAGTTTAAAGTCGCTCAGTGAGCTATGGAGAGGGCTACGTTCGGAGTTTCTCTGCCTGATAAACTTAGGAATTAGGATATCCGCAGTAAAACCAGAGTAACTGACATAGGCCAGCGGATTAGTAAGCTGAAGTGGGGGAAAAAGGTTCAGCATCGTACCAGCAGGCGAAGTGTAGGGCGACCCCTCACTAGATGGAGTGACGACCTAGTAAGACATGCAGGAAGTCGATGGATGCAGGTGGCTCAGGACCGTGGTTTGTGGCATTCCTTGGGGGAGGTCTATGTTCATCAATGATGATATTGATGATGATGATGATGATGACATTCAATTTTCAAAGAACTTGCTATCAATCGGAATACCTTCAGAGACTCCAGCGGATCATATAATTTATTGGCTGCTAAAAGTTACGCATTCCCCTCTCTCTTTGTTTATTTTTTCTTTATTAAAGAAACCAACAGCGTTACAATGACACGATACTCTTTCTATATCTCTCTAGGACTCTATGTAAAGCGTTCTAGAAGTCTTCATATACTTCAAACATGTAGCAATTAGTACATAATATGAAACCATTTTCAGATTTTATATTTTCTGAAGCGCGCTTGCGTAGTTACCATTAACTACGCAAGCGCGTTTCAGAAAATCTATATCCCAAGTCCTCTCGAATATACCGCCCCCCCCCCCTACCCCCACGGCTGCGCTAGACGTTGATATCGATCTTCCGCCCACACAAGCGAACCTCTGCGAACATGCGCACCATAACCTGAGGAAATTTCCAGGACCCACGAACTACTACGTATAAATTTTTCATATTTCGATATATTATATATAAAAAAAAAAATATATATATATATATATATATAATTGAGCATCACAATGATTCGTCAAAAATATGAAATTATATTTTTATGTTGAAACTGTTATTATATATTTCACATTTTTGCATTTTATGTAGAATAGAATAACGTTTATTTAATATAAATTACAATAATAATACTTATTGAACGTCATTTAAACTTTACCGCTGGTTCGAAAAATACTTCTGTCCAAAAAAGAACCGGCAAGACACTCGGCGAGACTTTTTTTAACATTAATTTACATTACAATATTTAATACAATAAATAAGTATAAAAACATTTAAAAACAGGCGTAGTTTATAGCTAGTGTTCCCTTACAATTATTAAATAAATAAATTAATAAAAATTGTACATACTATATTAATATAGAATACTAAAATACAATTTGCTGCTAATATTTAATTATTACTTGAATAAAAACTGTGAAAATTCAGTTAAAACTATATAACTGTCATTGTTATATCTAGTGTTTATTATAGTAACTAAAACTAAATTGTGAAATTCTATCTAAAATAAATATATCTAATACATATTATGCTATGTCACGTGTGTAATGTTTCTAATGGTGTCTAATTTATTAATAAGCTAAACGATTTAATGTAATTGGACAAGGACTGCGTATTTAACTAATGTACCGATGATAAAAAGTTTATTTTTTACTTATCATATCATAATGTATAAGGCATGTTTAGATGTTCATTTAAAGTTGCATCGCCCGAGGCTCCAATTGCGTAGAGACAGAAACTGCATTCGAATGCGCAGGTGCAAGCAGTGCTTAGATATTGGTCCAAAAGAAGCTGCACGGGCAGTGGCGCAGTGTTATCAAAATCAATACGGTATGCGCCGACCGTAAAAAAACAACCGTACATGCCTCCATAAATGAAGTGTACAAAGTTAATATACCGACAAATGAAGAAGACTTCAGAAGAAGAAATTCTGCACGTGTCTTAACTTCCAATCAGAGACAAAGTTAAGCTTGCAAGAAGAACGAGGGTGAGGGAAAATAAGGTATGAGACGGTAGTGAAGCGATAGTGTGAAACATGGGGTACTCGATAAATACCGTACCTTAGCTAACGGTGTCCCCGCCGAGCTGCATGAGGCAAGCCAAGCTGAACTATGCTCGTATCTCAGGCTGTTGTGAAGTATCAAGGGTACATACGTCGTTGGCACTTGACAATATGCAGAGATACGGGGCCGTGGTTGCTACTCGCATGCGGCGGTCGCGGTGCGATGCAGCCAAGTGCTCAGCTGTACGTGTCTCCGGGAGAAGACGTAGGGATAAGGGCCTTAGCTATCAACTACTTCGTTCCAGTCTAGATTTGAGACATACCGCATAATCCATGGTGCATAGAAGCAGAAAGGTGCTTGGATCGTGCGGTACGTCCCGATCGTTCGTACGTCTTCTCCCTAGACAGAGGTCCTTAAAGTCCAGTTACCGATATATGGTGGGCATTGGGTTGGAGTCCACGCTAACGCTGTCGGGCAGGCCGAGAGGTGTCTGTGGCGTGCAACGGCCCACCGAGGACTCGCTGCGGGACATCTGCACGCCAACCTCCCTGCCACCGTCCCTGGGCATCTCGTGGCGCCTCATCCCGCTATACGCAACGGCATTATCTCCATACGATCATCCTATCTGCAACGAAACGATCACACGTCTCCGCACGGCGGCGCGAACCCCATGGAAAAGGACATAGCAGGCTCAGTTTAAAACACTCAAGGAAAGTAGGTAAACATAGATAAGCATGCATGCCCTAAGGCTATCTAGTCCGCTAGGACTCGGTCACGTCGTAAGGAAAACATCTAAGCACTGAATTCTAACGCGAAAAGATTAAGTACATACGGACGATTAAAAACGCGGCGGTACACTCACCGAGGTCTAGGCGGGCGTCTACGTACTCAACATTGGTGCGGAGCGGTGCACTGGCGGACCCTGACTGCGACGAGGCTCTCGCGGTCCGGCAGCTTCTTGGTTCGAGAACAAAAGGATGCGCGCGCCGCTCTGGAACCCGCGCAGACGCCCTGAGCTCCCAACCCGACCTGTTTCGATCTTTAACCCCGGTTCCCTCAGCCAATCGCTCGTAGCTACCGTCAGCATTGATTTATTCAATCTCTACAACGCACAGCGACGACGCGCATTACCACCTGCACCACAAAGCGCATCTCGTGTAAATCAATAATGCAGTGGGATGCTGCGCCCGGGACATAAGGTCACAGGTCACAGCTTAAGGGCATTGCTAATTAAAAATCGCTGATTAGTAATTAGCTTTTCGTTTTAATTAATTTAAATGTTTTTAATTACATGATGTGGTAGTTATTCACTTACGGGCAACACTTGTCATCAGTTGAGCCGCATGCTCGATTGCCCTCCCTTCTATTAAAAAAAATTGCAATGGTTTGATATTAATTACGTAGTTCTAAGACATCAAAAAAAATTCATGCGTGTAGTTATGATAGTTTTAAACATTTTCTGTAAACACCTACTCGTATGTAAAATACGTAATGAAAGATAAGCTGTAACAAAGGGATTGTCCTTTAATGGTAGTTCGCTATAAAGCCTAGGTAAAACGCAGTGAACGTGCAACTGCGGGCGGTAGAGCATCGGGAGTACTGTCATTCGTTGTTATTGTATAGCCCGGTCGCTTACCACCGAGTTGTACTTTGGGTCGGATCTACCACCTGTCTTATACTGGGACTTTGACAATTTATGAACCGTTACAACGGGCTTAGACAAATTACAGATGATAGTGATCGAGACACGAACAACTAATTGCGCCGTGCCACTTTGTTAAGTGTCCACTTTATTAGGTTGCAAACCGGTCAATGTCGCAATCACAACACCAGTATGCATATTTGGCAGGTGAAAATACCTTTTCGCTTCTCCCGCAAGATATCAGCGTGATTTTATATCAGTAAGTGTAAATATTTAGTACTTACGTAATTCAAATTTTTACCATAGATTAACTACTTATGGCTCATACTCGTGCAGTGCACTAAAGCGGCCCATTCATTCGAGCAGTTACATACGAAACACATCAATACTATTTTACGCTGGTATTCTGTGAGAGCGTAGTCCTTCCCCGGTCGAGCCGACCCATTCGAGCTATAACCATAATATAGCTGTAGCGTGGCTCTACCACAAACACATTTCTACAAATAGTTACTTGACATTCTAAGCAATTTTGCCTTCTCCGTGATGATTTTGTGTGTATATACATGTTTTGTTATCACTGCAGCAGTATTGTACAAAACAGCTTGGTCTAGATTTATAATCAAAGATAAGACCGTATTTTGCATGGTAATAGGTATTCACTAACTCCAATCAATGCACGCCATGAGGTCAGCTGCTGCTATCCTGGCAAGGCCTATGTTCAGATTTGGACTTTATACTGAAAACACGAAACCAAAACAGATTTGGCCCACCCACCCTCTCAGAAATGATAGGAGGCTTGTGCCCTGCAGTGGGACGTATATATAGGCTGTTACTTCTCTTTTTATTTTAATATAATAATGATACAAAGGAATTTAATTACCTTTAAAAACGTTAATATTAATAAGCTTCAACTCAGCCAATTGCTATAAAGGTTAAATAAGATCCAATAATGTCGGTATTATATCTTACGCAACATATTCATATTATTATTAGTACTATAAAAGAAAAAGTGCTGACTGACACGGTAAGTAATTCCTTTCGAATGCGAACCGGTTTACGCCCAAATAGTTTAATTCTCAAGTGTTTCTTTAGATATTTTTGTATCAGGCGCAGGAAGTATGAAAAAGGATATAATCATAGATAAAAATACTATGTAATCTTATAAATATATAAATAACGTGCCACGTTGTTTGTCCGCGATGGACTCCTAAACTACTTAACCGATTTTAAGCAAATTTGCACACCGTGGGCAGTTGGGTGCAACTTGAACGATAGGAGTTTTTGTGCCCATGAGAGTGACCCACAATTTTTTTGTGAATTTAAGGATTTTTAACAGGACATGACAAAGAGTCGTCGAAAGGGGCAGAACAACGTCTGCCTGGCAAGCTAGTATACTATGTCATAGACAAATTACTAGGTGACGACACGAGGGAAGTTTCTTCCGCGCTGTCATGGACGGCGCTGGGATTATAATAAATTTTCATGTATCTAGCTTCATTAAGTAACCATGATTTGAACTGTTTCAGCTAATTTTTTAACATATATATATATTTATATATATATATATATATATATATATATATATATATATATATATATATATACAACATGTAACATAATTAACGCACTTTGAGAAAGTAGTTTGTTCAGAATTGTTTACTAAATCGATTCCTATAACTTTTAATATAGGTAGGTAATTTTTTATCCCAAAAATAATTAAAACTACGTAAATTACAGTCACACTAAATCTGTACAGTCAAAACAAATTGAAATGGTTAAGGCAATAAGAGTCAGTATTTGTATTATTACTAATTCTGTCATTTAATAAAAATAAAGAAAAATGAACTTTATTTCAAGCACGTTAAAGTCTTTGCGTTCGTGGATTTGTACTGTGACCACAACATTCTTCCGGAATTAGTATAACTAATTTGATAAATAATCAATGCATAAAAATGTTTAACCAAAAATTCAGTGTATGTATTATGATTATAACATAATATACTAATTGGGGTGTCTGAGGGTGTGCGTTAATTATGTTACATATTGTATATATATATATATATATATATATATATATATATATATATATATATATACATATATATAACACTAATATCGTCCAACTACTTCATATCATTCTGTGGGTGTCGCAAGAGGCGTTAGTGGGAAACAAACCAGGAGACGGGCAGCAGCGTCTTCCTGATAACAATTAAAATATGCAAAGATTACGCTAGATGGCACAAACACGGCTATGACTGGATAATTTTTTTATTTATTTAATTTTTTGTAACTGTTTATTTTAACAGTAAAAGATATATTAACCATCTTTAAGCTGTTGCCTGCTGTTTAATTTTTTTGGCTGTTATAATATCATATTAGTGTTCAGTTAGCTGTCCAGCTGAGATGACAATGACACTGTTGTCTGTTGTCGGCGGCAAAGCACACAATTAACCAGTGACGAACTGTGTTTTAAGACTATTATAATTTCTTAATTAGTGTAGTTAGTGTCTGCGACAAAGCATAATTTATCAAGTGACGAACTGTGTTTTAAGACTATTATAATTTCTTAATTAATGTAATTAGCGTATTAACTCATATTAGAATATAATTTAAATATAATTATTAAACATTTAAAGGATAGCTTTTAATAATAATTTTTAAGGAAGTTTTTAATCGAAAATTTGTATTGTAAATACTTATAAAAAATTTAAGTTTCGTTTAGCGCTTGAAAACTAGTGTTAGATTAAAGGTTTAAATGTAACATAATATAAAAAAAAAAGAAATAAGTAGATCAGACATCTGTTTCAATAAATATAAGACAAAATGTATAGTATATTAACAATTTTATAGGGTTTTTTGCTCTAGAAGTTTCTTATATAGAGAACTTAATAGTTTATATTATAGAACATTAATAGAGCAATCTAACGATGTATAAATTGTAAGGGTTATGTGAAAGTTTTAATAAATAAAGGCTCCTAAGGTTTCGGCTCGAAATAAAAACAACACGCGAGAAAGGGAAAACCGCGCAGACGTCCGTACGGTAACGCCGGCGGGTATAAAAGTCGAGCAAATTTCGGCTCAAATCGCAGAAGAATCTCCTAGGTGTGAGTCGTTTGTGTTTAGCTGTGAGAACATACAACCGCCGGTACGACATACTCCGCCGATCGTCGAGTCCGTTGATTCCGTGAGGCGTCGAGGTCACCGGCCCCTAGGCAGATTTTTGGCGCTTTAAGACGCTCGTGTCTATTGTGCCTAGTCGCGATCTTAAAGTGCCACCACCGCACTTCCCCCAACCCTTGTATTATAAAAGGGGTAGGCAGTGCCCACAGCGAGTAAGCCAATTATTATCATCCCCACCATCCGCGTCGCGCATCACCATCCGCTGCCGACCGCCTGGTTATTTTAGACAGGGCCTTTTTGATTACCACTGACTGAGTAAAAAGAACGTAAGGGGGAGCCCCCCTAAGTCAAGGAAACCACCGGACCGTCCCGGCGTACTGGAGAGGCTTATTGCCTATAGGGACATTTTCAACCCAGAGAGGATGACAGTAGTATCATCCTACTCTCCGACCCGGAAGCCTTCGTTGCCGGGTAAGGAGCCCGCATCGAGGGCCGCGCTCTCGCCCATCGTACCTGAGTGTACGACTGGGCGTGAACCGTTGCCCCCCCAACAACAGCGGGCTATGAAAACGCCACAAAGGCACACACCACCAGAAACCGATGCCTCCCTCCATGAGAAGAGGCAGCGCATCGGTTCTCAAATATCATCAGGATCACCATCACCAACACCATCGGATGATGAGGAGCCCCAACCTGCGACTAGGAAGAAGGTCCATACCTCACCTCCTAAATCGCCATCACCGTCACAACAACCACCATCCATCTCACCGGAAGGCGCAATCATGACTCGGCCCAATACGAGCAAAGAGGGGGGGAAATCT